TAAAATAATTTAATATGAAGAAGTCAAATTTAAGAATTGAATTAAATTTTAAAATTTTAGAAAAATCATAAAAAAATATTTTAAATATAAAATGAAACATGATAAAAAATGAATTGAAATAATACAATTAATTTAATTTAATTTAATATAAAAAGTAAAATTTAATAAGTAAATTAAAATCGAAAACATAAGAAAAATATAAAAAAATTACTGCCAATGGTTGTAAATTATGGAAGATATTAAAAAAAGGAAGAGCGAATGAAGTCCAGAGGCGAGAGAATATTATGCGAGGACCCTTTCTGATTGGAAATAATAAGGAGGAGTGAGAAATAATGAGGAGGAATAGTGCCGGAAGGGAGAGAACAATACGGTGGGAAAAAGGTATCTGACACACTTGCAGAAATAAATAAGCTCTTCAAATTGAGTCATAAGCTCCCTCCTCCAGCTTATTCCAATCGTGCGTTGAGCTAGCTTAAAATCCAATAAGCTCAATGGATCTGAAGCCCTGCCAAACATCATCAAACGCTGCAATATGGCTTATCTTGAAATTAAGCCACGTTTGGGCCAGCAAACGCTGACCCAAACAGGCACTTAGTGCTCTGCTATTTTTTTTTATATAAAAAAATGGTTAATCCTCTTCCGGTTCTTAATGTATGACCTAATTGTTAAGTTGATTTTAAACTCAAACGTAATATCTATTTCTCATATTTATCAGCTTTTCTTAAATTACTTTTATTGAAACTCCCTTAATCATAAACAAATAAGAAAGCGAGGAAGGATATTAAGGAAGATGATTATAATGTTTTAGAAAAAACATATCACATTTCTTATAATTAACTAACTTATTTGTTCCTTAATATAATCAAATTAGTTAAATAGGTTTTTTTACATTAAGAACTAAAAGAGTACAATTTTTAGACATTCAAATTTGTTTTCATTTTAATTTTAATCTCTCAAGTTTTAAGCCATATGTTTTAGTCTTTCAATTTTCTTTTCATTTAAAATAATGATTCTTATAATTCAATAAAAACCTGAACCATTTTTTCTTTAAGGGACCAAAACCTATTGTTTAAAATTTGAGAAATCAAAATGAAAATGAAGGCAAACTTGAAAGATTAAATTTTTTTTTTGGAAACACAACAAAATGATAAAATTAATAATAAAAGGTTACAGCGTAAAGTAACTAAAATATCCTACAATATAAAATGTTGTTTTTTTTTGGAAACAACATCAACATTGTAAGAACCAAAATTATAGAGAAGCGCAAGGATCTCTTGCCAAGTAATAGAAGAAGAAGAAGAGTTATCCCTGAAAGCTGAATGGACTGTTTCTGCACACAATGTATAAATAATGGAAGTTTTGGTAATTCCGTCCCATAGACCAACAGATTTTATCCTGTAGACTGGGGCTCTAAGGCATTTGGAATGAAAAGCTGGACCTGCTAATAAATTGCTTCTCCAAATAAATTCTTTCAAACATGTAGCTTGATGATAAATCATTCCATGGCAAAAATGATATTGGAGTTTTCTATATTTGAAGAGAATTATGTTCCGAACATCAGGATGTAAGTAAAAATCCTCAAGAATTTGAATTTTATTTTGAGGATAATGCTAAATGCTGTGTTAATTTAGAAAAGCTAACCTGGAAAGAACAAATTTGCTTGACATCATAAAGTACTGAGAAGAGTGTGGCCACTTTGCCTTGATGAAGAATATCATTCCGAGTCTTCAAGATAATATTGAGCAGAAATGTAATTTGATAAGCAACATCCTGCAATTGATCTTGACACAATTGTGCCAAGGTAACTTTTAGTCAAGAAGCAAATTTCTCAGAAGAATTGAAAGCAATTCTGATGGATAAACTTCCAAACCAAAGAGCCCAAGTAAAAGAACAGTTAAAAAGAGATGTAAAAGATTCTCTTCTTCTTCACAGTCAAATACACAGAGGCTTGAGATGTTAAGATGATGCTGCCTTCGAATATCAACAGAATGTAAGGCCTTATGCAGCAATTTCCTAATGAATAACAATTGTTTGAGGGGAAGTTTCAACCTCCAAAGTAGTAGCCAGAAATCATGAACAGTTGGAGCCAGATTGTGAGAATCAGCTTGCCAAAGTAAATAAGTTCCATCTCGAACCTAGTAGATGCCCTTGTTATTGCCAGACCAGATAATTTGATCAGGAAGATTTAAGAGGGAAATAGACTGAGCAAGAGTGGAACGAGCTATATCTGATGGATAAATCTTAAAAATGAGGGAGGAATTCCATGAAACTGGATTCCACAAAGGGGGAGGATGCAATAACGGATGCGATACAAACTTAATATTCAAATATTGCATCAGATCCTGCTGAATAGGCCACCAAAGGTGGCGGTTAATTGGGATGCTTGTCCTATATATCAGCATATTCTGCAATGCCCTTCCATATCTAGGATGAGTTATATGGAAGTTTAATAATTGGCTGGCTATCTAAATTAAAGTATTTGACTTTTAAGACTATGGCCAGCAAATAAGAATCCTGGGAAGAGATTAACCGCCAGATTTACTTGGCAAGAAAGGCTCTGTTCACAAATCTTAGCTGGTCTTAACCCCAAATCACCCGTATCCACAGGCTGGAAAAGTTTATTCCTAGCCCTAAGATGCATCCTCTTCTTGGTATCTACCGAATCCCAGAAAAAATTAGCACATAATGAATCTACCTTGTCACATATTGAATGGGGAATTTTGATGCAAGAAAGGATAAGTATGTTGTCAAAGATTATATTAATCATTAAAAATATTAATGAGATAGCGTTTGGTACGGCATATTTTTTCTTTTTTCTTTTTTTTTTTTTAAATAAAAAACGTGTTTCGTGATGAGGAGGTAGGGTCGTCCTAGATAATTATCTTTTTTAAGTAAAACATGTAGGCGGTATTCGGTGAACCAGACGCAACCTTCTTGATAATAACTTTTTTTTTTTAAATAAAAGATTGATTGAGGCACCGGAGTTCAGATTATATTTTACTTAAAATGTTTTATAATTTATCGAGTCCATGTTTCTGCTATTTCCTAATATAACTCCTTAAATGAAAGCATTACGCCCCGTTTTAAATGAAGCAACCCCGAAGGAAGTTATTGTACAGTGGTACAAGATTAATACTGTTATATAATCACTATGTCAAATCCATCTCCTTGTTTATTTTTCAATTCAGCACCCTCACCTCGTACATGAAGTGTTTCTCAGTTTTGATTATTTCTCAATTGGTTCTTTACATAAACCTATTTATTATCCAACATCTCTTTTTTCTATCAAATTCAGATGTACTCATATGCAATGTAATAATTACACTCTAATCTCCTATGAATTCCAGTCGTGCTTAGTGATTGTGCATATATGTAATGTAAACAACACGTACATACATAATTCTAAGGTCCTGTAGAAGCACTTGAATATAGTGATTCAGGTTTAGAGTTGTGGCATTGAAATTTTTGATTTAGTGTTTTGGTGTGAGAATCTATCCATCCAAAATGAAAAGGTGTAAAAGTGCGGAGATCACTCATCTTGTGGGGTATTATTCGATGAATTCGGCAGCTACTCTTGTCTAATTACTAAGTGGTGATTTAAGTTTTGATTTATTAACATGTTCCCTTTAATATGAATTCAAGACTTATCATTTCACATATTACTAATTCTGTGATTAAATCATCGAATTATGAAAAGAAGTTATAATTTGCCAATACTTTGTGTCTTTTTACCACTAAACATCTCTGTTTTATTGAAAGCGTTACATCCCGTTTTAAATGAAGCAACCCTGAAGGAAGTTATTGTACAGTGGTACAAGATTAATACTGTTATATAATCACTGTGTCAAATCCATCTCCTTGTTTATTTTTCGATTCAGCACCCCACCTCGTGCATAAAGCGTTTCTCAGTTATGATCATTTCTCAATTGGTTCTTTACACAAACCTTTTTATTATTGAACATCTCTTTTGTCTATCAAATTCAGATGTACTCATATGTGAGGGACCATTATTTATGATAGTTTTACTTGGGGTGGACTTGATTGAAAATATCTATATCTTGAAAATATAATTCAGAAGACAATGTTGTAAGTGATAAAATTGACAACTTCCTTATTTGTGAAGTACCAAATACAATTAGGAAGGAAGTTTTGAAAAAGACTCAATTGAGAAATACCTCATTTGCTCCGTAGCCGCTCATTTTTCCATTCAGAAACAGAGCATTTTGATTATTGAGAATTCATTTTGTAAATGTTGCTCCTAAGCGAGTGAAAAGCTGTTTTTGCGTGTGTGCGTGTTTTTTTCCCGCTCTGTTTCATAAAGTATTTAATTTCATAGCTACCCTGAATTTGTCAGTTGGGGGTCTAAATCATGCAGATTCTAAAGCTGTTACCACAAATTTATAATTCGAGCTTCGGCCAAGAATTTATATCTACCATTTCCGTTTTTTTTTTTAACATAAGGACAGTTTGATCTTCATATGTTACTTAATTTTTACAAACAAGGTCATGTGCCTTCACAATAATTTTAGACATTCGAGATCCTTAAGGAATAACAATTTTGTTAATTTGGTCCTTGAGCATAATTTTCTCTGTAATTAATGGGTCACAAAAACATTTCAACCCTTAACAAATAGAGCATCGATACCTCATATCAGTGATAAAAATTTAATTTTGGCAGATGGATAATTTAATTAGAGAAATCCCATGATAATAAGAACAGAAATATTTTGGACGCCCCTTAGGCTTTGTTTGGTTGGAGGGGAGGGGAGGGAAAATGAGCCCCTCCCCTCATTTGGTCTGGAATTTTGGGGGGGAGGGAACCCAAAATCTCCCCTCCCCTCCCCTCCCCTCATTTTGATTCCCTCCAAATTGGGGTTTTTTGGAGGGAGGCCAAATATCCTGACTAATTTACCCCCATTAATTTTATAATATCCCACCAAATGCCCCTGGAGGTAAACGTTTTCTTCTTCGTGATCTGTTCGGCAATCACTCTCACTGGCCTTTCTTTTCTGCGGTGCTGTTCGTCTCCCGATCATTGTCCCTACCGTCACCGTCGCAACCTTCTCCAACAGCCACCGGCGTCTTCGTTCAGGTAATAAGTGGCCGAGTTCGTTCCTGATTTTGCTCTGAAATTGCGTAGTGCCGTACCTGAACGAACTTTCTTCTTTGTGTATCTGTTCGGCAATCACTCTCACTCGCCTTTCTTTTCTGTGCGGTGCTGTTCCTCTCCCGATTGTTGTCCCTGCCGTCACCGTCGCAACCTTCTCCGACAGCCACTGGCGTCTTCGTTCAGGTAATAAGTGGCCGAGTTCGTTCCTGATTTTGCTTTGAAATTGCGTAGTGCCTTACCTGAACGATTGTGTTATGTAGCAATGCATTATGTAGCATTTTGCTCTGTGCCTTACCTGAATGTAATATTTTGCCACCGGCGTCTTCCTTTTTAACATTTTGCTTTGTCACTACTATCAAGTTTGTAGTTTCGTGGTCTGTCTTCCTTTTTACCAATGCTTTGAAGTTTCGTGGCTTTATTTGACTGTGCTGATAGATTGTGTTATGTAGCATAGCAAAACTGGTTCTGAAATTCGAAACATTGCCATTGATTCTCTGCCTTCTATCACTGCCACCAGTGTTCTGAAATCCCTCTTACATATAGTTAGAGAAATAAAATGCAAATCTCTGTGATGTATTGTAAAGCAAACTGCTCATATTATCATCGCAGTCATGAACCTTCTAGTCAATATTAGATTGCAGGAAAGTAGACTGACTAATAAACAATATATTGAAAAATCCAAATGTGAGTTATAATTCGTTTTGTCCGATCAGAACTCATGCAAGTGTAAACATGTCTATAATGCAAAGTTAAATAAGACGGTGGAAAGATGTACGGTAGCCAAATACAAAAGTGATAGACAACATAATGAAACTACAAAATGTCATAGTGATTACCACTTCTTCCTGTATTAAAACCGAGGAGGAAAAGGTCTAATTGTAACAAGTAAAACAGGATACGGCATGAATAGCGGGATTGAGAAAATTTATCTGTTTCTTCTTAATCCATAGTGACTCAATTTTACATATCTGTATTTCTGCTCTTTTCGAAATATTGCCATTGACTGTGCTTATGGTTTCTGTATTTTGGGAAAATATATATGAAGTATTGTGCGATCTCTCTATCACCTTTCTCTCTCATATGTTAAAGCTAAACACATCACATCTTTGTGTTTATGTTGTTGCCAATGAACAATGGGCAGTAGGGGCTAAAATAGCTAGTTCATGACTTTATTATATGTGTCTTTGCTAAGTTATTAATATGCAAATTTTACTTATTTTGTTAGATGGACATGGAAACTCAATACTACTTATTGGTGCGGCAATGGCTTGAATTGCGTCATAAAGTAGTAGCTCTACTTGTACGTGTTAGTGCGCAAGTATATGAGAATGAAGTTCATCGTCCACAAATAAGTTATAGTTTGAGTGGCAAGAGAGAAAGGGTACAGGATGAAATAATGAATAGAATAAGTAGTTGTCCATCTAGTCGAAACATCATTAGAATGTCTCCTAGAGCATTCTTAGAGTTGTGTAGCATGTTAGAAAGAGATTGTGGTTTGCAACCCACTAGGTGGTCCAGTGTGGAAGAACAAGTTGCAAAAACTCTTTATATATTAACACACAATGTTAAAAACTGTGAAGTCAATTTTTGGTTTAGGCGTTCTGGTGAGACAATTAGTCGTCATCTTCATACAGTTTTGATGGCTATCATTGAGTTAGAAGAAAAATTTGTTGTACAACCTAATGGGTTAACAATCCCTCTTGAAATTCAAAATGAGAGTAAATTCTTCCCATATTTTAAGGATTGCCTTGGTGCTATAGATGGAACACATATACGAGTCAAGACGCCTTCTATAGATGCTCCTCGATATCGTGGTAGAAAGGAATTTCCAACACAGAATGTGTTAGCAGTATGTACATTTGACCTAAAGTTCACTTATGTGCTTCCTGGATGGGAAGGCATTGCATCCGACTCACGGATTATTAAAAATGCATTAACAAGGGAAGATAGCCTTAAAATTCCTGAAGGTATGGGTTTTACCAATTTTGCTTAAGTTTACATTCATTAGGAATTATAAAACCAATATAGTAATTGTCTTTTATTATGATAGGTAAATATTATCTTGTGGATGCTGGATTCATGTTAACAAGAGAGCTTATAACACCTTATCGGGGAGTTCGTTATCATTTGAAAGAGTATTCAAAAAGAAATCTACCCCTAAATCATAAGGAGTTATTTAACCTTCGACATGCAAAGTTACGGAATGCAATTGAAAGAGCTTTTGGTGTTTTGAAGAAAAGATTTGCAATTTTGTCCAATGCAATCGAACCTACATATGGCATCAAGGTTCAAAAAATGATAATATATGCATGTATAATTCTTCATAACTTCCTTATGAGTGCTGACCCTGCTGAAGATCTTATAAGAGAAGTTGATAGGGAACTTCTTCAACAGAATACGGCAAATGACAATAACCGTGCTTCAAGTAGTGACAATAATGAGGCTGCTCGAGGTGAACTTATCAGAGAACGTATAGCCACTCTAATGTGGACAGATTACCAGAATAATCCTGAGCATGGTTTTGGTGATGATCTTGGGGATGACCTTGAGGATTAGAGTTTGATTTTGTTGTTTAATGTGCATTACCATATTCAAATTCAGTTTATTGTATTACTTGTTTAGTTTAGAGTTTGAATTCCATTTAAGACATTCAGTTTGTTGTATGACTTGTTTATTTTAGACTTTTAATTCCAATTTAATCTGTATAATGGCTATATATGGAAATTATTTAGTTCTACAGAGTACAGTCTTCAGACTCAAGTGGATATGACAAAATGACATGTAGCGTTATGCTTATTTATTTGATGATTCTGCTACATGCTTCTGAGTAATAATTGTTACTTTTTATAGCTCGCCCTTAGTTTTTAAAATGTTAATTCCTGGTTTGAGTTTTGAATGGGTGTTTGATTCAGGTTTGTGATGGCTTCTTGGGCGCTTATGCTTTAAATGGTTATGCTGATTTCGTGAATCCAGACAATGAATACTTTGGTTTTGATTACATGGACTGCTGTGAATTTAAGATGATGGATATGAATTATATTTTTGGAATTTTGAAAAGTCCAAACTTGCTGATTTTGTCCTCGAATAGCCTGTGAGTCTAATAATTTGGAATCACCTTGTTAGAGGTTTAACAGATAAGCAAAAGACATGAATGAACTTTCTAAAAGATAGATTTTTGTTCTGGGAAAACTCTGAATTGATTCCATTCTCTTGTGCACAGCTAAAGAATAAACAACATTCTTTTGTATATTTGGATGTTCCTTGTCTGTCTTGTTAATTATTCTGCGCCAACCCTCCTTTTGAGCCAGCTGTTTGTTTAGCGTGCTTCTATAGGTCAATGCCTAAGTCCCGATGTGGCTACTATGTTTTTATTTCTGAGTCTGATGTGCTTCACTGAGAGCAATATTTTTATATTCTTTTCTAATCTTTTGTCTCAGATTTAGTGCATTTCAAGTTGTTTAGATTCTGTTTTGTAGTTTGGGACAGTGTAAGCTTCTGGTATTTTTAATATAGAGCAAAACTTCTGATCGAAATGAGCATGGCTATCAAACACCTGGAATTAAGATTTTGGTTTAGCCTGTGTAAATTTATCTTCTTACTTGTGGGGAGGCTTCTCTGTTTTAATAACAATAGTAAGGAGACAGTAAACTGGACAAGACATATGGATGATGCCCTCATTGATGCTTTTATGACTGAATATAATGAGGGCCGCAAAGTTAATGGCACTTTTACATCTACTGCTTATGATAATATTGTTAGATATTTAACTGCTTTGTTTGGTAAGCAAATTGATAAGGACAAGGTCAAAAACCGATGGAAGACTTTAAAGAGAAATTTTTCAAATGTTTATGATATTTTTAAAAGTTTGAGTGGGTTTGCTTGGAACCCAACAACTCATTTGTGGGATGCTGAGCCAGAAGTTTGGGATACACTGATTGAGGTATAATTTCTACTGCATGTTTTACACTTTCTTTGGGTTTTATGAAGTTTGTAGACAATTCTGTTGCATTATATTTCATGAACTTGTTGGATTATATTAGGCTTCCTTATATATGCCTTCAGTGACAATAATGATATATATGCCATCTGTTGCCGCCTACTATTTATGACCATTAGATTAGAGTTGCTGCCTACTGTATATGCCTACTGTTGCCGCCTTCTGTTTATGAATGACCATTGGATTTTTTGGGTAGCTGAACTTGTACTGATTATATTCAATGCCTTAAGGCTATTTATGACCATTGGATTTTTTGATTAGCTGAAATTATGACTTGAAGCAGAAATATTTATGACCGTTGGATTTTTTGGGTAGAAGAAATGTTATATTTTTTGGCTTGTTATATCATCATTTGTCTTTCAATTCAGTCATTAGTGTAACTGCTACGAGCCACCCTTCCACTTATTTGCCTTCTGTTTATTTCATGAACTTGTACCGATTATATTCAATGCTTTCTGTGATTCCTTTCTTTCAATTCAGTCATTAGTGAACTTGCCTACGAGCCACCCTGCAATATGAAAAATTCCTTTCTTTCTTGCGATATGAAAATTAAGTTTCAGATTCATGTAATATTAATATGCACAATTCATCTCCATGCTAATACATTTTATTTCCTCTATTTTTTAGGCTAAACCTAAGGCAGCACAGTGGAGAAACAATCCTTTTCCAAATTATGAGAAGATACTAATACTATATGGAGTGGATAGAGCTAATGGAGATGAGGGGGAGACAATGCGTGAATGGAGGAAGAGGCGTCGTACTCAAGAAGAGACCACTAGAACTGTTAATGATATTGATAACCTTGTTTCACAAGGTAGATATTCATTACAAAATGATGATGATTTTGTTGAGTTAGATGGACAAAATAACTCACCTGGACAAGGATTGTCACCTGAAGAAGATAATTCTCCTGTTGCTAATAGTGCTTGTAGTAAGAGGACAAAACGAGCATCCAAAGAGCATGAAAATAATTTAAAGGAACTAACTGAGGCAATATGTCGAGTGGCTGATGCATTAGATAGAGGAAATGAGGCAATACTGCAAGGAAACATAGCTATAACAAAAGCCTCCACTACAAAGATGCAAGCACCACAGCTATCCGGTGAAGAACTTTGCAAACTGCTTGAAGAATGTGGGATTGAGATGGAAAAAATACCTGATGTATATTGCTTCCTTATGAATGATGTTGATAAGCTTAGAACAGCTGTTCAATGTCCGGTTGCAATAAGGAAGCAAGTGATAATGAAGATGTTTTATGGTTCTTATTAAATAGTTGTTTAACCACTTACTATGATGACTTTTGATATAAGCCCAACGTGATTTCTAACAACTGATGCTTTTTGTATATTTTGATAGGTGCTAACAATTTGAGCTTTTTAATAGTAGGGATGACTTCATTTGCCCAATTAGGGGTATGTTTTGTTGAAAGCTTTTGTATTGTTAGCAACATGTTATAAACTATGGTGAAGACATTTATTTATGAAGAGTTTTATTATCAAGAGTTTTATTTATTTGCATGATTGGTTTTACAAAGACAAAGGCGGTCCATCCTGTTGCTTCACAGTAGGGATTACACCATCGTATATGCAACAAGAGGGAAATAAGGTGCAGAATCAGCGAAAAAATCAATAAAAAAAAAACCATGATGCATAATACATTATGGAAGAATCAGCGAAAAAATAAAAAACCGTAAGGTGCAAATAGTATTGGTATCAAATTACATATTAACAGTGATTATGTAAATAAATCAAATTAAATTATGAGGCTACCTTTTTTAAATTAAACAAATGAATTAAATTATGAGGCTAACTTTTTTAAATTAAACAAATAGTATGGGTATCAATTTTAAATGAAAAATTTAATTTGTAACGCTTTAATTGATTTTAAAATTTTAACGCTTTAATTGATGTTACCTACAAGATAATAATCCAAATAATAAGTAACTTCCTAAATATAAAATTATTACTTTTATTTTTTAGCATATATTATTTTATTAGAGATTATTTAAATTAATTTGTATAACAATAATATATATCAAAATATAAGGGTAAAATAGTAAATTGATTATTACCATCCCTCCCCTCCCCCTCTTGAACCAAACAAGGGATCATTAAATACCCTCCCCTCCCCTCCTTTTTAATCAAACCAAACAAGGTGAGGTTATAACCTCCCCTCCCCTCCCCTCCCCTCCCTCCCCTCCCCTCAAACCCAACAGGCCCTTAGACAATTGCTGGATTGTGTCTGTTAAGACTGATGTTCCAAAACCTTTCATTCTCTGCCAACCTGAACCAAAGTATCTGTCATTGCCGTGGACAGAATATTCTGAGTGAAGGAAAGGGTCTTATAATTATGGCTTCCCTATGGCTCCTTATCTGACAAAATCTCTCGACCAAAAAGAGCCACCCCACAAATCTAGACTCGGAAACCTTTTCAATGGTGAACAGTCTCAATGAACTAAATAATCTTAATGTAACATAATCAAGAAAACCACACAGTCGCTAAACGAAAACTTCACAATCACAACACACCAATTTCTGAGTCTTTCATACATTAGAGTCATAGACTCATAGTACTCAATGAAACAAACGACGCCTAAGGGTCGAGTTTTGAGGAGGGCCAAGCCATTCATCACCCGATTTACTTGTAGGAATATGGTTTATGATAAGAATAGAGTCTCGCTCATCAAATAATAGAGCATATGTAACTACCAAAGCATAATTTGAGAATTCTACAAAAGCATCATCACCTTGCAGGCCCAGGCCATTAATCACCCTCTTCTCCCATGTATGAACAGTAGGAGCAAATTCCTGAAAGAGAAAGAGAAAATATTTAACCCATTATTATTTTAAATATTAATTTCAGTTACTCCAGACTGCATATACATGTATATATCTTTGTATGTTTAGATTAAAGTTTACTTAGGTTTAAAATTTATACTTCGATATATAAATCACCTCTATATGGAGGAGCATGGAAGATGAGCATGGGTATAATTTTAACATTAGCTTGATAATTTTTCCTAAAACACCATAATTATTTTTCTTAATATTTTCCCTCCATCTTCTACTTGATTATGGTCGAGAGAGTATCAATAAGTATAATTTAAAAAAAACTCATAAATATAAGAAATAAGTCTTACATTTAAAATCAAAATTAACACAATAATTAGGTTAGGAGCGGAGGAGTAGTGCCAAATGAAAAATATAAGGGCTATCACTAGAATAACTAGCCTTTTTTTTTTAATATTATTTTTGGGTTTTTTCCCTTCTTGAAGAAATATCACAACTAGCAAAATAAAATTGAAAATGATCGCAACAACAGAGAAGTACCGGCCAAAAAATTCAGAAAGCAGTAAATTCAGGAATTTTTTCCCCTTTTTTTTAGTCGAGAAAAGAGAAAAGCAAAAAGGAAATCAGAAAGTGGAAATATATAAGAAAAAGGGAATTGCAGAGATGATGAAGTAAAAGAAGAAGCTCAGAAAGCAATAGAAACCAGAGAAGGGAGAAAGTAGATTTGTGAAACTATGGAAAAGAAAACGAGGAAGAAAAAGAAGATCAGAAGCTTTATTTGGGAGGAGTGGCTGCAAATTCTCTGGTATAGATAAGGATTCAAGTCAACGCAGTTTGATCAATGCTGTGGGGTTTATATTATTGGGATAATGCATGACAATTTATGACCTTATACAAGTTAATTAATATCACTACTCAAAATTTCAAATTCCTCATGTTCGGATTCCTCATATTTAGTTTTTTTTAAATGTTAACATTAGCTTTTTATGAAGTACTTAATTGTCATTCTACGTGATGACCTCTTTATGTATTTATCAAGGGAAAAATAATGTATAGAAACATAATTTAATGGTAAAAAATTAAAAAAATTGTAAAATTTAGAAAATCAGTTAAAAGGGGGAAAAAAGGGAAAACTAATGAGCCGGGGGCACTACTTTGTTGTGTGGTTTCTTATTGGTCCAATTATTAGCTGCGCGGGGCAACTTTGAACTTTCGCCGAAGAGAATTATTGAAGTGGGCGAAAAGAAAAACAATACTGAATGAAAAAGGGAACAGGATGATAACAACCCATGTTTTCACTGTCATCCCATACTCGAGTAATTACATGAATTAATTTGGAGCCACGTACCCACCATATGATAATCTTATCTCTTTTTTTTTTTGCTCTTTTTTTCTAGAGATAATCTTATCCATTATAATTTGTGGATTTTTATTTATTGAGACTAACACCAACTCTAATTAATAATATTAACATTTACTAACGCAAGTTTATGGTAATATGTAGAAAAAAATACATTTATTCTTCTAATCTCAAAATTGTTAGGCTTAAAATGATGAGTTTTTGTAACAATCAGAGTTGCTTTGAAAATTAAACTTAATATGTTAGTATTAGATAATTTTTATCAATATTTAAGATTATTTCATTTGTTATCATTTTATGTTATTGATATTAGGATTAAACGAACTAAAGCATATTTTTTTAAAGTTAAAAGATCACACCTTTGCATACTACTCCCTCTATTCCTTTTTATAAGATATAATTAACCAAATCCCATTGTTTGAAAAGTTAGTTAAAATTAGTTAAGTACAATAAATATGTAAAAAATAAATTTTATTTTTCAAAAATGCCCTCATTTATGTGGAAGAGATAATATGTCGTGAAGAGAGAATGTTATAACAGAGAAAGAGAAAGTTATCTTAGAAAAAAGACAATGTGTAACTAAATGAGGGTAAAATTGAAAGTTTACAAATTAATTTTAAAATAACCTCTAAGAGTCTCTTATAAAATGAAACAAAGTACACCCAACAATTGCATCTTATAAAAAGGAATGGAGGGAGTAATAATTTTCTTGTAGGATTATTTTCTTTATAATTCTGAGATAATAAAGATTCTAAGACTAAACATATTTTTATCCCGAAACTATTAATGAAGATGGTATAAAATGGCGTGTGGAGTGTGGATTCTGGAAGTGACAAAAGTGGCGTGTGGGCTGCCAAACGTTAGGTATTAAGTTTAGGAGAAGACTGAGAGAAGACTTCTTGTTGCACAACTTGGACTCACAGTGCGTGGGTCAGCTACTTGGCATGTAATTATATGCTTCGTTTATTATTAAATCTTAAAACTATAGAAGTTATCTGTTATAGTCTTGTCGGTTAGGACTTAGGAGACTCGGCTCTTACCCGAGAGACCCGGGTTGGATTCCCGGCAACGGAAAGATTTTTTGTGTTGTGTTTCAGCAGCTACCAAAGTCAAGCGGGAGCATTATAGTCTTTTCGTTAGATTCATGGCTCTTGCCGAAGCCCAAGCAGCAACCATAGATGCATGCATGCGTCTATCTATATATCAGCCTCTCCGTTCGGCGGCACTCCGTCGTATCGCTTTCAAGTTTCAACCTTCCCTCCTCTCATCTGTCCTTTCCTCTGCATCGTCGTAATGATACACTTCTCCTGTAAATCCAGTGATTTTTTAATGTGTTTATTTATATGAATGTCTATGTGGGCTTCGGAAAAGAAGTGTTCGAACCCAATGAGGGAAATCAAACTCCAGAAACTCGCCCTCATGATCAACACCTGTGTTGGTGAAAGCGGTGATCGTCTCACTAGCCCTAGTTGCTAAGGTCGGCTCTGTACCTGCTTCCTATAATTCCTGGTTGGGTTCACTTGAATGTTGGATTTCCAGAAACCAAAATGCTTCTGCGAGTTCATGTCTCTGCCAGTTCCTTTGATAAATGAAGCAACCCAGAAGCAGGTTATTGGGCAATGGTACAGGATTACTGCTATTATATTTTCACTATGAAAGATCCATCTCCCTGTTTGTTTTTCAATTCAGTCCTCGCCTTATGCCTAAAGTGCTTCTCGATTCTGATAATATCTCAATTTGGTTTCTTTAATTAAATCTATCATCGAATATTTGTTTTTCTATCAAATTCAGATGGACACATTATGTGATAGACCACTAATTATATTTGGGAGGGGATTGATTGAGACATGTCTATATCTTAAAAACCTAATTAAGAAGACAATGTTGTCATTCACAAAATTGAGAATTGTCTTATTTGTGAAGTAACGAATTAAGGCAATTTTCAGAAAGACTAAATTCAGAAATACCTCATCATTTACTCTATAGTCACCCATTTTTTCATTCGAAAACGGAGCATTTTGACTACTAAGAATTTATCCTGTGAATCTTCCTCCTATGTAAGTGAAAAGTTGTCATATATACATACACACACACACATATATATATATATGTACATATTTGTGTGTATGTTTTTCCTTGCTCTCTCTTCTAAAGCATTCACAGGAAGTGATCGGAGGAGAGGGCAACGGGTCATGCTTCACTCTTCACCAGATTCTAACGCTATTGTATAAATAACTTTGAGGAAAATTGGCAAGTA